GGGGGGGGGGGCAGGGGCGTACAGGAGAGGCAAAGGCGCAGCAGCTTCATTTCTTGCTACATTCAAAGGCAGAGGTGCAGCAATTGGGACCTGGCACGAGCAGAGAGTGCTTTAGTCCCCGTTCATGCTGGGTTCCCTGCTGTGCCTCTGCCTTTGAAATGTAGTAAGAGCCGCAAGTGACTCTTACTACATTTCAAAGGCAGAGCCACAGCGGGGATAGCGAGTGCCCCCTCTCCCTTCCTATCAACTAATCAAGTAGTTGAAATTCCATCAACTATTCGACTAGCTGGCTAATCAAAATGTAACTTCCCTAGGTTTACCTTATATTTACTCTGCATTCTGGAAAGATTTCCATTCAGTGGTTTAAATTTGAAAAAGCATACTGGCCCCAAGGTTAAATTCTATCTTGTACATCACCAGGAAAACATTTTGCTTCTCAGGTACCACTTTTGTGGTCCAAATTGCCATTATTTGAGTTTGTTGTTACCCCCTTCAGCAATATGTTGTTTAAAATGGATCCAGGTGAAAGATATGAAAAAAGACTCTCTAGTTATGGTGGAGTCCTGCTTGTCTTATGTACACTGCTCAATGACATTTATTTCTCTATTGTGTGCAGGGCCAGATTAACTCTTCTGGGGGTCCAGGGCTATTAGATATTGTTGGGTCTCCTAGGCTCAGCAGTGGGGCCAAAAATGAGGAGGGGGATGCAAGTTGAGGCAAGAAGATGAATGCAAGAGAGGGTAGGGCTGGAGATGAGACTTTTGGGATGCTAGATGGGGCTCCAGGCTAGAACTAAGGAGTTTGAAGTGTGGGAGGGGGCTCAGGTCAGGAGGTTTGGTGGGGGTACAGGATTTGGGCAGAAGTTAGGGTACAGGAGAGAGGACTCTGAATTGGGGTGCAGGGTTTGGGAGGAAGTTAGGGATTTAGGATGTGGCAGGGGATTGGGGTACAGGGTCTGTGAGGGAGTTAAGGTGCAGGATGGGGCTCAAGGATGGTGGTTGGGCTTTAGGGTTCTTACCCGGGGCAGCTCTTGTTTGGGAAGGAGTAGGGGGACAAGTGACTTCACACTGCCCTGTGCTTGTCTGCAGGCACCACCCCGTGGCTCCCTTTGGCTCCAATTCCTGGATACTTCAAAAATACATTTGTAATTTGAGCTCTTCACACGATGCACAATTAAATCTCCCTCTGATATTCGTCTTCAGAACTTTATCAGGCTCATCTTTCTCTGGTCTGCCCAAATTATTGCACTGAACCCGAGTTAAGGGATATGTTAATAGTACCTGCATAATGGATTTTAAAATATTTAAATAAATCTTGCATTTGATATCCTAATTTTAGTCTAAATTATGTAGATTTGCTTTTGAATCTCATGTTGTTCCAATGCAAATTTATAGATATTGGCTCTAGTGTTGCTTTTCCCTTTTTTAGGCTAAAACATTTCCATCCAGACATGTATTCCATTAATTTTTTTTTATTTTCCAATTTATGAAATAGGTTCAGCTGCAAACATTTCTTCAACTTCTGCTGTTACAACAAAAGGTCTTTTTCAGGTAATGTGAAACTATAAACAGTTTTATGCCTGTCAGCTTCACTTACACTTTAAATTAATCTTCCTTATCTTTTGTCAGGTTGCTCCTGCAACATCAACCATTGCTAAGCAAATGGAAACTTCTAAAAGGACTGAGGAGGCAAAGATCAAAACTTCATCTGCACCTAAAGAGAACTTAATACAAACTTCTACAACAGATAGGGAGATAAATGACCTTCAAAGGAACAACTTTGTAGATACTAGTTCCTATGGAAAACAGCCTGAAGTGCAGGATAATAGTACACCAGCCAAAACTATTGGCAGGTTTTCAGTGATCAGTACCCATGATGAATTAACTTTAACATCTCCACATTGCATAAGGTACTCTGCACCACCCGATGTATATTTGGATGAGCTTCCCTCAAGCCCGGACCTGAAGACATCGGTACGGCGAGTGCAAACAACATCTTTTCTTGATGCCCTTTCTGACCATGGTTCCAGTGACTCTGGTGACGAGTCTCTCCGAAGGAAGTGTGTGGCTGTTCAGCCATCCCCGCAGAGCAGCAGTGCAGACATCGCAAAAAAGGCCACTTATCTTCTGCAAAGATCAGGAAAGACTAGTTCCCCAGGCCCTGACTCACCTAATGGTCAGGGAACAAAAATTCCCACTATCAATATAACATCCTTCCACTCGCAGTCATCCTACATGAGCAGTGATAATGACTCAGAATTTGAAGATGCAGATATGAAGAAAGAACTGCAGAACCTGAGAGAGAAGTATGTTAAAACAATCTGGATATTTGACATATGTTTAGAATACCCGGAAAGTATCTCCATACAGAGTAAACGAAGAGTGTAGCACCAATGAGTAAACTCATTCAAAGAAAACACCATTCTTTCCTGCAAAATCCATACTGACCCCAAGCCATAATGGTGGCAGTTACAAAATCCAAACTTTTCATTCATATTTCTTTTCACACACCTTTGCATTTCTTAGGCCTGGCCTGCACTTCCAGAGTAGACTGGCCTTGCTGCACATCTCAGGGCTATGGAAATTTTTGTGCCCTGAGTAATGTAGTTAGATTAACATAAGCCCGGTAGAGACATGGCTAGGTTGACTGAAGAATTCTGTTGACCTAGTGATTGCCTCTCAGAGAGGTGAGTTAACTACATTGATGGAAAAATCCCTTCTGTTGATATAGGACAGGAGTGTGCAATAATTTGTAATGGGGGGGCCACTCCAAAATTTTGGTGAGTGTTCAAGTGTTCTGCGAAGGGGGGGGTGTTTGGGACAGCAGGTAGGGTGTACAAGGGAGCTTGGGCTAGAGGACTAGGGTCTGAGAGGGAATTTAGGTGAAGGAGGGGGTTATAATCTGTGGCAGGAGCTTGGGGTGCAGGATCCAAGAGGGGTTATGAGTGCAGCAGAGGATTTGGGCCTGAGGGAGAGGTGTTGGAGGGGGTGTAGAGTCTGGGAGGGAATTGTGACCTGGAAAAAGGGGGGGAAAGGGGTGGAGAGGATTTGGGTGGTGACGTGGGGCAGGGGAATGGGGTGCAGGGTCAGGGAGGGGTATGGGTGAAGGAAAGGCCTGGGGAAGAGTGCAAGAGGGGTTGCAGGGTCTGGGACTGGGGCGCCATTTCAGATTGGGGGGCGGTGACCTGTTGTAGAGTCTGGGAGGGAATTGTGACCTGGAAAAAGGGGGGGAAAGGGGTGGAGAGGATTTGGGTGGTGACGTGGGGCAGGGGAATGGGGTGCAGGGTCAGGGAGGGGTATGGGTGAAGGAAAGGCCTGGGGAAGAGTGCAAGAGGGGTTGCAGGGTCTGGGACTGGGGCGCCATTTCAGATTGGGGGGCGGTGACCTGTGCATGC